CTGGATGCTCAAGGCTGGAAGTTTGGTCCGTGTCTCCCAATGGGATAGACATCAATGCTGCTTTTGCTTTTCGAGCGTAGTGTTGCTCCGCGATGATGAGCCCACCAACAAAACACATGACATCCCATCGGTCGTTCCATGAGGCATGAACAATGATCAACACTTCTACTGCGATTCTCACCATCGTCCTGGTCCTCGAGAGCCCCAGCAAACACAGGAAAATAATCATCGAGCAGCGAAACTCTACAGGGATCGTCCACAGATGTGGATTGTAAAATCCCTTGGACTGCTTCCACGTATACACATCAACCAAATCCTTTACGTAGCCAATATAGCTCTCGATCTCCGTGCTCCAGGAAGTGTTGGCACGATGCTGTGGGTGGTCGACTAGAATGCCCATCCTTTGAAGAATAAAGGCAAAGAAAGATACTGTGAGACTGGGCAACCACAATCGAACCGAGCGTCGAAATGTCGTTGAAGCAAGAGCTCTGAACACAGATGGCGATTGGCTTCTTATGAGCTGTATTCCTTTCGACGAGAGTGCGAATCCGGAAATGACGAAGAATACCGCGACCATTACCCCTCCAGAGTATATCAGCCGCAGATATGGCAGTTGAAGAAAATGCCAATGCTCATCTGCGGAGGCGAAGCCATACTGAAATGATGGGTACGGTCGATTAATGAAATGCTGAGTGACGACAATGAACGCAGCCACGCCTCTGAGACCATCCAGATAGTCGGTGTCTCGCTTCTTCGCCACCTGTGTCTTTTCGCCGTCGGGTGATGTTCCACTGTTTTGTGTGATGAAGCTGGGGAGGAGAAATACCCCTAATTTCCGAAGTCGAAGAAGGGTGAGGTATTCGCCATAAATAGGGGGTTCGAGCGAGCTATTGTACATTTTATCCCAATAAGGAATACGCATTCGAATGACTGGCGGCATATTGAGAAATAGACTGAATGGATATACAAGAAGGAAAATGTCAAAACAGGAACAAAGGGAATCTATTCGCACAGAAATATCAATGACGAGGGGTAAAGAATTAATATGAACTGCAGGAAATCCCATGGGACGCCCCTATTCAGCGCCGTTTTGCGGCTGAACCCCCTGAATACGCCATACAGCTAAGCGAGGATGACTGCCGTCGAAAAACAAAGCAGGTCACCAATCACAATCCGAGGTAAAATTGGTGGCACACCGAAGAAAATCCAAATTTGGAAAGAAGTAATATTGCGGGAGACAATTCTGACTCAGATCGGGCTGGAAACTCCATCAATGCCGGCACGAACCAGTGCTTCCCGTGCTTCACGCCAAATCAAGCAAAGACTACGACGCCACAAGGATGATTATCAACTAGAAAAGTGGAATCGCCAACCCCCCGTTTGGTAGTTTCAAGCACGACAACTTGCTCGATGCGAACAGACTGGGAGCGAAGGAAAAGGACCCGATGAAGAGCGCAATATACGTCAATTTGACACAGATTTGTTGTTTTCTGAAATATGCTGCCCTTCTGCAATCTGGACAAAGCAAATCATAGCCTAGGATAATAATTATTTCCCCACGCCGATCGAGTGAGTGGAAGCCCCTCTGAAAATTGTCTAAGTCAGTCGCTTCCACTCAGGGTTCCCGTTGCTGTCACGATCATGGCTCTCGCCGCCATGATTGAGGAGTGGATCTATTATTTACTGCCGACTTTCTTGCAACGTCATCACTCGTCGCATTCAGTCAGTTATCACGGAGCTCGTTTTCGAGCAATCGAAGCAATGCAGCAATAACTCCAATTGCCTTCCCATATATCTCCAAATGTTGCAAGACTTCGGCGATATTAAAGGACGCAACTGCTGTGACCGGCAGGGGTTGGTGAGCGAGGTCAAGTAAAGTAGGCTCCTGAAAAGGAACGGAAAATACCAGGTATAGCCCCACGTTTATACAACAGTGGGAAAGATCTTGAAGCAACCGAAGTCTCATTTGATCTAAGGTCCTTGTCCCATCTATCCCCGCCGCAATAGACGTGGAATTCGACATGACTCCCCTGGGCAAGAATCATTTGCGTCGTGTATAGAAGAGAATCTTGATATTTCTTGCTTTTGGAACGAAACTCTTTCCCAATTGGAAGGTTGATGAGAAAAAAGTCTGTTGCTCCATAAGTCTCCATTGAAAAATGAGATAGTGACTTCGATGATATCTCGTGGTAGATCCTCGATGGTGAGCATCTGGCCCTGCCAGCGGGTTCGAAGCATGTTTGCTATTCGTGCATTTGCTGATACCAGTTACCCGGTTGCTGGTCACCAATCCTGAGAGATTGAATCTAGACAAATCACTCCACCGGTGGCGGGATATACAGCTGCAAATCCATTGTTGACGCATTTTTTTGAATGTCCTGTCACACGATTTCAATGACGCAACGAGCAGATCCATCCGTTTCCCGATCAACACCGAGATCTGGATATCAGTATTTATCAAAGCCTCTTGCAAAGCTAGTTTTCCATAGTCCAGGCAAAAGAATGACCCTAGTCTCCGATAATGTCCCTTCGTATTAATCGTGGCTTTCAGCACAAGACCCGAGACCTGTATTCGACGATTGACTGAGATAGGTAGAAGGAAAAGGTCACCATCGCCTACTTCTGCACCTTTCGCTACATCAAGCTTGATATTAAACACGATGAAATTTCCATGTATTCTTGGGTTCCAATCTTCTCATGGGGTCTTCAAAACGATAGGTTGACTTTTGCTTGTATAACATATTTGCATTTCAGGCGGATGACAGCAGCGGTTATCTGGCCGAAAGAGTCGCTAGAGGTATGGTTGATCCGAATACCAACAACCTCTACTTGATCCTGCTCATCGGGGTATTTGAGAGTGGGAAACTCTATGTTTCCAGTGATAGAAGCCCACGACCATGTCGGCGGCACAACATATGGTGTGATTCTCCGTCCTGTCCCGGCCTCGATTTCCCAGCGGGGCTGAGAGGTAAGGTGCTCTCTCCACAACCCAGCAAAATAATCGTCTTTCTAGACTTCTTATGCAATCCGAGCTAGCCCTGAGATTGTCACCAGTTTATCCTTCGAGAGAGTCAGGCTGCAACTTGAGTATACATTTACTAGCATAGACCACCCTTGACTGGAGTTGATTTGTCTGATACCTAGGTGATTAAGACCGTCTTTGAGCTGGGATGGGATCACATCTGGGAAAGTTTCGTAGGCGAACTTCTTCTCGCACTCCCAAAATACCTCGCTCTCAGTGAAATGTAAAGTTCGGGATGATAAACATGCTCTTTTGGGCAGTGGCTGTGCCAGGAGATACTCTTCGAAATCATCAGGCACGCATTAGTAGTAAACAGTTTGACCTCTATATTGGTGTTGAAGAAAATTTACCTGCGTACCTTGGGCAGGTATCCATTTCACTTGAGAGTCGCAGTTTTGCATTCCCATCATCGAGGTATAAAAGTCGTGTCGGTATGTGATGGCCTTGCGAGCTCCTACATCCGTCATGGAGTGAGAGACACTGATCCAACCAAGTCTTGCACAAAGTTAAGCTGGATTTTGTGCTGGATTTTGGAAGTGGTGATAGTGTATGAATAGTCGCTATGTTCCAACAAGCGTCAGCGGCCTACCAGTTTGGTAGAGAGTTGCAACCCACGAGGCAGAAAGGTAGGGAATATCCGGATACTGGTGACGGGCTTTCCAAAGCGAGCAATGCTCGGGACGATGCGGCTACCATTGAACTCTCTACCACGTAGCATTTTTGTTGACTTTGCGCCCCACCTAGTCTCAAGGATGGCAGCTCCTTGGCCCTCTTCACCGTCATCGCTTTCATGCAAATATTCATGATCATCCTTATCTTCATCCGCGTCATGTGGCCCGACTTGGCTATTTTCACTTCGGGTGAGATGGATACACAAGATGCAACCATGATTGGCAGACTCTCCTAATGCAGAAGTTGTATCGTAATGCCGAAATCTCAATTTCTTCATGTAACCGCCACCCTCAGGGCAGTGATTCATGATTTCCTGACAGAATTTGCATAGCCTGGGATCGATAACTGCTGTATCTGCATCAGCGAGAAGGTCCGGAGCTAGGGTGATAAGTGCATTGCTTTCAACAGGCTCGCCAGATTCGGGCAGCAGGCTGTCTCCGGAATATTGAAAATGGTAACTAGCAACATCTCCGATCGTGTTGCTTGCAGACATCTCAATTATCATGCAGATACGGTGGACTGGGCTTTTAGTGATGGGGTGCGCACTTGCAGCTAGCTTCATAGAAGAAAAGACGAAGGAGATCGATGGCTAAAAGCAATACATGCTACCAGCTGCAGTGTGTTGTTGGCAGAAGAGAAGTAGAACTTCGAGGGCCCAGTCATCCTTCTAATTGGGAGACAGCCTCGACAAGAAAAGATACAATGCTTAAGCTTAAGGAAGAGACCATTCTTGTCAGCTTGAGAATTGACACGCGATTTGGAGATTTGCATTTTGATATTATTACATATATTAGTGATTTAAGAAGGAACTCCACAGGTTAAGAGCACAAAATGGGGGCTAAACAAAGATATCCTTTGACTTATCATACTTGCAATTGCACTCTTGACCAGAGTCAACGTCAAGTTGTTGTTAAAAGTTTGAGATGGAGAGGTATGTAGTTGTATGTCGGCTAACGTGGCAAAACATTATTAGTTTGCTTATAATTACAAATAAAATATTCAAGCTTTCTAAAGAACTTGGATGTCTGTAGAATTACCCCAGAAGCCCGTTTGGAGAAGTATTGATAATCCTGTTTTCCCGAATTCAGTTACAACGCCCAAACCTTCGCCTAACTCCCCCCCTCGTCTCCGCTCCGCCACCGCCTACCGTATTTCTTTGTGCCCTCGCTTACACCAAAAAATCCCTCTCCAAACCCCAAAAAACTATTATTTCAAAACCATCCACCTCCTCGCCCCTCGCCCCAAAGTCTTTCCAAAAATATCACAAAAAATGAGAAGCTCTTCTTTCGAAGAACCTCGGGAATTGAGCCCGAGGTGGGGCTCGAACCCACGACCTTGAGGTTTTTCCGAGAAGTGATCATTCATAAGAGCCACACGCTCTACCGATTGAGCTACCCGGGCACTTTTCAACCAAGTTGTTGGATTGATGTGTGGGAGGGCTTATTTGGGTACTTGGATACATTAGGGTTTTGGTGGCTTTGTGGGTGAGGGACTTCGGTTAGGTAGTAAGTGGAGTGGGCTGAGATGTGGTGGGTCGGTGGGATGATGTGTGGAGGGGTAGAGTCTACTGTAACAGGCAGGCCTAGGACTTACTCTTTTGGAGCATTACTACTAGCTACCCACGTAGGTCTAGGTCTACTTGTGTCTAACTTCGGATGTTTTCACTTACTGATAAATAAGTACATCACTTGCACAATTACCTCAAAGAACACTGATCATGGTTTAATTGAGATTTTCTCGATCTCGAGTCATAAATTTAGCATCATAGCTATGATATGATGATATATACAAAACTCAAGCAGACTCATTACGCCATGCCATGCAAACAAAATCATCAAGAATGCTAATGCTCGCTTCTCATGAAAAAAAACCTCCACAAAGTCCGACGTCAGACAGACGTCCCCAACCCAAGGTCCCCAGTACCTGTTATATCTTGTAATCCTTCCAACGCCATGAACAAATGCACCGAAATCAACGCCTATACCCACGCCCCACCCACGCTCAGGTTACTTTGAAAGAAGAGCCTGTTCTAAAAATGCCCGCCGTAATTTTTTTCTCATCGAGGAAAAGGCTGTCTGTACATCTATCTTCTCGTCTCGTCTATCACATGACTGCGTAGAACATACTCGCCCCTACGGCGGCCATGGCACCGATGTTCAAGGGTGCTGCTGTCCTTTGCGCTCCACCTTTCGAGGTTGCTGTTCCTCCTAGACCGATGGAAGCTGTTCCACCAGCCATTACTCCCGTATCCACACCAACTGTTGCATCGACTGGATCCGATACGTCTGTGGCGCCTGGAACGGAGGCTGTTCCCGTTGTTATCTCAACGATGTTTGAGGTTGTTGAGTTGAAGTTCGTTTGAGCGATCGATATCTCGTTGTTGGCGAGGTCGTATACGAGGTAGGCGGATCGGATGAATGTGTCGCCCATAACTGAGGTGCTGGATCCTGCTGGGGCAATACCGAAAAGACATGCTGGTGTTCCGTCTGAGAAGGTCAACTGTCGACCACTGGCTGAAGTGACGACAATGACAAGTTCGTTCATGGGAACGGAAATCATTGGGCCTGAGAAGGTAAAGTTGAGGGTGGAGGAGTTGTCGGCTAGAGAGCAAGGAACATAGGCTGCGCCTTGTGAGGAATCGTATTGAGCGTCCACTTGCTCGTAGATAGCCTCGGTCATGGCGTCTGGGAGGTAGGTGAGGGAGCTACCAGAGTCCAAGAGGACAGCTTGAGCTTGGTTCCTCGCAATCACGATATTCCCAAAGCTCACGGCCGTGAGTGTGATGAGAAATTCGGCGTAATATCCCCCCTCCGCCTGCACTGGAAGGGTTTGCAGTGAGCCCATGTATTTTCCTGTGTCGACTCCACCGAACAAAAGTTGTCCAGTGCTTGAATCAAGATCGTTTAACCACAAGCTATACGCATTCGACTGGATGAGTCCGTCCTCAACCATCTGCGAGGGCAGGTTCCGGTATGGTGACTTTCCTGCCCGTCCAACCTGCACTTCATTGACCTCGTAGCCGATCCCCAAAATTCCTTCACTTGACGAACTTGTGTAGCCAACTCCAAATTGCAGCTTCGCCAGCGACGTCGACCCAATTGAGAAAGTATCCGTCACATAATCACCGGCTGCTCCTGACCCATCCACGTAGGAAATATTAAAGTCGCTCGCGACATAAGCATACGTTGATGACGAGTTGGCCGAATATGTCCCTGCGAATGCACATGGGCTACCTTTCGTTTTACACAACGTCGACGATCCTGTGTTGACCCATAGATCGCTACTACCCGTGTCGAGATGTAACCGGAAACTCTGTGCTGGTGTTCCCAGGGTTGCATTCGCAAAATATAATGTTTCCTTCAAAGGTCAGCTCAAGTATTCCCATTCAAAAAAATTGCACTGACCTCATTATCCAGACTTGCTTGAACAGTGTCCGCTCTCCTTCTTAACCTGTCCCTCATCACTGGATTCCGTATCGAATTTCTCTCGATTTCAAACCCTACAACTCTTGCTGGTCCATCGGTCCTCTTCTGTAACTTAAGTCCTTCCGTACATGTTGACAGCAAAGTCGCCGAGATGGCCAACGTCGAGAGACCCTTCATGATTATCAATATCAACCAATAGTCCAGACAGAGGTAGCCCTTCCTCCTGGAAATGGGCGTTCCCAGACTATATTTGGTCCCAAGATCCAGATGACGCGGTCAAGGGTACACTAGGAAATCTAGTGTCGGCTTTGAATGCCGAATTTTGAGAATTCTTCAAATCCAAACGGCAGCTACTCCGAGTAGGACGACAAGTGAAAGACTAGGTTTGTTGTGGCGGCGGGGAGATTGTTGGAGGCGTAATGAATGATTGACTGACAGACGTAAAGACTGACGACACAGATTGAAAGGTTCGGGGAGTTTCTGTGTGCGGAAGAACCGATTAATCCGAAAATGTAGCGAATGTCGAGGATTCCATTAAAGAGAGATTAAATCCTCGAGCTGACGTTGCCTGGGTGGATGGCTCGTTCCTGGTCGAACTTTGTTGTAGGGCTGGCTGGATTGGGATGGAGGGGTGAGGTGAGATGCAGATGCAGATGTAGTAGTAGTGGGAAGGAAACAACAGAACAAAATGCAAGCGGATGAGAAGTAGCGAGATGGCCACAGACAATACAAAAGGGCTTGGATAATTTGAAATGCCAAGTAAACCCCAAGATCTGGGTATTGCAAGGTGAGAGGCCGATGAAATATTTCCAAGCGTTTTTCTTGGGAGCACTGCGACACACAGCACTTGGAGTCTGGGAGGGAGGGCTTTGTATTTTCTTGGCGTCGACAAGGGCGTGTGGACCCGCAAGTGACGCGGCCGAGGACGAATGCTGGAGGAGAGAGAAAGGCAAAGGGAGGGGAGGGAGGGGAGGGAGAGGAGCGCGACGATAGCTACCGTACTGCACTACTGGACGGGCTGAGGGGACAAAAGGAATGAATGAAGAAAAGGACAGTGGGCCTAGCCACGCATTGCCCATCTTACTGTACCTGTTGCAAGCACTGTTGCGTTGCGCTGCGCTGAGCCCAGGCTGGACTCAAGTTGACCGACGTTGGTTGAGAGAGGGGCTATTTCCAGAGCATCTCGCTGAAGCTTGCGGAGGCGAAGGGAACGGATGATCAGACACAGGAAACGCGGAGCAGCACGGGAGCTGCGTCAACTGGGCTGAAAAGACCCCAAGCGAAGATGCGAAACGCGGCTGCAAGCCCTCCCCCGGTCGGCACAGGCAAGCAGCCCAGCAGTTGAAGAGGATGAGGATGAGGATGAGACATGAAAGAGGGCGATGTGTGTCTGGGCGAAACGGGGCTTGCAAGTGAAGTCGCAATTGTGCCTGTCTGCCATTGGTTGGCTGACGTCCGACGTTTCGTGCCGGCTGGGCGCTAAAGGGGGAAGACCGTGGTGAATGAGGGATGAGAAGGCAAAGCAAAATGGTAGAGCAAACTCTACTCCGTACTTTACTACTCAGAACCAGATGGATTACTTGGTGATCCTGCAGTACCTAATAAGTACACAAGTAAGAAGCCAGAAGAGTTGAGCGGTAGGTTCGGTTCGGATGTAACTTTCTCCAAGACTTACTTCACCAAGGAGATCGACCGACTTTACTGGGCACAGCTCACGAAGGGTCTTGGTGAGCGATCATGTGTAACCGTGACATTCGAACGTAAAGAAGCGTGGCCTGAATGAGCATGGCATGGTATGGTAGATGAACGATCTTGCAGATTATTATTGATGGCAGATCGAATCAAATCAGGAGCAAGCACCAAGACGATACTATGTAGTTTGGGACTGTTTACCCCCCGAAGTCTTCTCCGTACAAATGCGAAAGAGCAGAGTTTCCAGTCAAGAGGTTTGGACGTTTGACGCTACGAGTAACCCCATCCATCTATCCGTTCCCGGAGGTCATATCTGCACAGTACGAAAGGGGGTTGACAGTGGGTCTCGCCCCCCCTTGTAAGGCGGTGAGCATCATCGAAGCTCGTAGAACCTATGCCTCCGCCATTGATTTAATGACCGTTCCTTACTGATTTGTATTGAGGAAACATCGTCAAAATGCCTTGGACACATGAAACGCCAACTCGTGTGCGATTCAAAACCCTCTTAGCTGAAGGCTACTCAGTCAAAGGAGCTGCTCGCAAGCTTAATATCCCTCGTTCTTCAGCACGATATTTTATTAATAAACCCGACCGATTAGCAAAGCCTCCTGGCGCTTCTCCAAAGATCTCAGACGAGCAAATTCAAGAGATAATTGAGTGGTTTACAGGCCACTACGATCGCCGAACTCTTTCTTTACAACAAATCCGTGAGCAATTCCACCTCGATTGCGCAGATATTACTCTCCTCCGAGCCTTTGAACGACACGGTTATCATTATCATGTTCCTGATTGCAAGCCTTTTATATCAAAAGCGAATAAGCTTAAGCGTTGGAGCTTTGCTATTGCTAATTGGGACCGAACGAAAGAATACTGGCGACGAGGAAGGTTTACAGACGAAACAATTACTCGTACGGATATTCTTCGTAGACGAAAACTTCTTCGTAAACGAGGGGAAAGGCGACGACTTGATTGCATCCAATTTACGTTTCACTCAGGTCATAAATCAGTAATGGCGTGGGCAGCAATTGGGTATGGATATAAATCAAAAATTTACTTTTGCTCGTACGAAGGAGAAGGCAAAGGGTTTACTCAAAAGAAGTATGCAGATCAAATCTTGAGGGGCCCGTTGAAAGAGATATTTGAGCAACCAGGAGACTTCTTTTGCGTAGAGGACAACAGTAGGGTTCATGGGAAGACCGATACAAAGCAAAACCACGGGCTTTGTAATGCCGTACGCTTAGAATGCCATATATTCTCAATTGATTGGCCTCCTTGCTCGCCAGA